ATGGATTTTGACTCAAGTGACGCTATTGCCGTCGTTGGGATCGCCTGCAGATTTCCCGGCGCTAATGATTTAGATGAATATTGGCGAGTGTTATCTAATGGGGAAAACCACCTGAGAGAGATACCAAAGGAAAGATGGAACAATGACGCCTTCTACAGCAATGATAAAAAAGAAATGGGGAAAAACTATGTGAGACATGCAGCATTTATAGACAGGTAGATACAAGATAATTTTTCAAGTGGACTCTCAATTTCTGTATTGTGGGAACTGGGATTCTAAGCTGGCTGAAGTCCCCTTCACAAAGAACCTATTATTGGATTCACCCTAGGGTAAACAACTTATTTAAGGAGTGGTGCATCCTCTCTGGGGAGCGGGTGACGTGTCTCATACATTCCCAGGGGGCCAATAGTCTTTCAAGGGCTAATGAATTTGAATATGGGAATATATACATTAGTTATGACTTAAAATAGGTCTAACGCGATAAGATAGACCTAGTTATAGTCCTTTGTATTAAGGTCTACGACCTAGTCCTTGGTACTGGTCTCAAAAATTGTACTGTACTGGACCATAACAAATAATGAGATTACTCCAATTCATCTTGTGTAAGGCAAGCCACCATCCACTTTATAACTAAGCTACCAGGCAGATCACCCCTTCATAATTATCCTCTAATCCCCTGATGTTTCTTTTACCAGACCTAGTGACCCATCATATGATACAATTATTAAAACACAGCAGTTCTACTATTCAACAAATATTTGAGGAATAATTTTGAAGGGGCCAGTACAGCTGGGAACAATTGATACAACAATATGCTAGCCTTTTGTTAAATTTGTATTTATTTTAAAATATTAGTATTGTCTATTGTTTAGTAAGTCGTGTACATAAGGACTTTCATGCAATGTATATGTATCTTGAATATCATTATTTGCTAACAGGTATGATGAATGGGACAATCGTTTCTTTCAAATCAATGACGACGAAGCCATGAGAATGGACCCACAGCAGAACATCCTGTTGGAATGTGTCTATAAAGCGTTGGAAAATGGCGGATTTCCAGTGAATGAGCTTGCAGGATCCAATGTTGGTACTTATATTGGTAAGCAAAACAAAGACTTTTCGAACTCTCGTCAAAGCCATAATAAAAAGAACACGTGTGTTTAACGTTGTTCAGTGCCTGTCAATATTTTAGAACACTGCATTTTATTGGTCGAATTACGTATAACGAGTCGTCAATTGAAATAGGTATTACATTCTGATGGTAGCCTGAGTGATTGACCACTCATTACATCACGGGTAACAAGAAAATTGTTATCCGCTGTTTGAATGCCACACTACGTTAGCTGACTACCGTCAAGATCGGCAGACTTTTAGTGGACAGAAAGTGGCAAGTTTAAACGTGATTGATACTTTGGATTTGTATACTCAGTAAACATTGTAATTAGTTGGCAAACACGCTGTCAAGTGTCACCGTTAATCTCTGTTCTACCTCCATGCTTAAACCAAAGTCAAACGCGTTCTCACACTCACCAAGGTTCGGCGTTGTGCAGTTTTGCAACATCGGGTTTCTTGCCAATGACCAGGCGATTCCAAGAATTCAAGATATCCTACGCAATTGCCGCTTTGACGACGATATCGCACAACGTGTTTCCTTTTCAGGGCCACTACATACCACGGAAATTCTTTCTAAGCTTTCTTTGATTCTTTGCTGCAGGTATAATGACGGATGATTATAGTGGAATTGCAAATTGTGATGCCAATGAAATTA